TTTCAGGAGCGAAACTGGGGTCAAAATCCCCACATACAGAAAAAATTCTTTATCTCACAGTCTCAGAGAAAATAGCCCTTTACGCTTCAGCAATATGGGCCAATCCGATGAGTGGTAGAAAAGTCAAACAGCTGGGAATTATACAACGACCTTACGCCATACTCTTGTGTAAGGCCTACAGAACAACGGCCACTAGTGCAGCAGTGGTATTAGTGGTATTATCTGGTCTAATGCCACTGCACATACGCGCAGAAACTGAAGCTGCTTACGCTACTGTTATCCATTTAAAGAAGGAAGCTACCTTCTGCGGAAACACTTATAGTCCAGTTCAGTATGAGCATCCAAGAAATACCCTGGAGACGCACCCTGCGCACAAGGGAAGAAATATAAGGATTCACGTCAGCAGAAGTGGCGAGCAAATTACAATACAGGATCTCTCTTTTACACAGTTAAATATTTTGATGCTGATAATTCACCTCAGAGAATATACGTAACGCCTTATTATATATACGTAACCCAATGCAGTACTATACAGATGGATCCAAGCTCGACGAGGGTACAGGTAGTGCCTTCGTCCTGTACCACGGAGGATGCAAGGAAATCGAGTGGAAGGGGCATCTTCAACCAATAAACAGTACATTCCAGGCTGAAGTCATAGCCATTACCACTGCGATTCAGCATGCAATTGATAGCGGGATCACCGATGCAATGCTGTTTACAGATAGCATGTCAACGCTATTCGCCCTAGTCAACCATAACCACAGCTCCCCATTGGTAGCGACCTCCAGAATATTATACAATCACATCCTCAACTAATTGTAAATTTAATATGGACTAAGGCACACGTTAACAACGAGGGTAACGAGACAGCTGACCAACTGGCAAAGGTGGAAGCGAGCAATATAGCTGCACAGATGGTAACTACTTCCAAGCGCCACCCTCGTATCTCAAGAGAACTCTCAAGGAAAAAGGCTCTGCAGAAGTGGCAAGCTGAACGGGAGACCTGTGATACGGGTCAAAGTACCTAATTTTATTTCTGCCTAGAGTGAAAATGGAGCGCCAATACTCCCATACCTCCCATCACTAATTACATCTCGAGGCACGGGCCCTTTCCCACCTATTTTGAGCGGATTTCGGTATCTCTCATACAGGCTTGTGCGTCTGTGGGTTCGCTCGGAACTCCGAAGACCATTACCATCTTTGAATGCCCGCTCACGGAAGGATAATCACCTCCACACTTGCCAGCAGACTACCAAATAGCCTTCAAACGATTCATCGTTAATAACAAAGGCACAGTGAATACCATCTGCAGAATAATCAGCCAGATAAACCGCCCTGGGGCAAGACCTATGCCAACCCCACTAATTCAGTGTCTTAAGTGAATGTAAGTACTCCTCTGCATCTAAGGAAATACAGTATCTTCCTTCTGCTAAGCGCATGTACCTTCTTTATTAATAGTATTTATGTGTCATGTCATGTATGTGTTTTATGTTTAATATTTTTTTTTCTTAAATGTGTAACTAGTATGTTATGTAACGTATACCTTGGCAAACCTAAAATCTGTAATACAATATAAATAGCCAATGTATCTCTCATCTGCCCCTGTATGGCAATGTAATAAATCTTTTAAGATCTCAATAAACCCCCGGTAGATAGGGGAGGGCGCGGGACATATGCCTGTTTACCTCTATTAAACACCAGGCGTCCCCGTCCTCCGTCACCTGTCACCTGTATTTTCGACCACGATATTTTGTATCACGATGTTTTTTCTTTGGTTTCTTTTCTCCCACGGTGTTTTGTACATCGACGTTTTCGTTCCTGCGTTGTTTTCTCCCCGATTTTTTTGCCGGACACCCGCGCTGCCCAACCGGTTTAGTTTAGTTTAGTTTAGTTTACGAGTATGCTGCAACCCTCCTGGCCGACAGTAATCGGCCTCATGGTTAACGCAGCACACCCGACGCAGAAAAACAACAACAAAATAATAATAATAATAAAATAAATAAATAAATAAAAGATTAAAATATTTAAAGTCCTATCTTCCTATGATAGTCTTATTTTCCTTCACAATCCTCATAATTTCTGTTGGCATAGCTATTCAAGAATTTTCTTTTTTCAATTACATTTTGTTCATTTATTTTTCCAAATCTCGTCCTCACACTCTCGGTCAGTTTACATTCTTCCATAAAATGAGCTGCATTTCCGTACTTCCCACAAGCCAAGCATTGATCATTGCCCGGAGATTAAATCGTTTTAAATAGGCCTGAAATCTACCATGATCCGTGATAACTTGAATAGTATCTATATTATTAAATAGATCCATTTTTCTTTTTATGGTCAAAATCCTCAAAGTAACCCTTATTTTTATTTGAACCATTCCATTCCCGAGCCCATTTCTCAATTATACTTGCTTTCATTTTTCTCAAGGTAATTCTTCTGGAATCATTAATAGCCTCATAAATATCACCCTCTCCCAGGGCAGCCAGCCTATCCGTTCTTTCTTTCCCGATAACACCAATATGTGCCTTAATCCAATGAAAATATATAGCATTTTTCTCTCTTATTTTGTTATAAATGTTTTTTATATCCAAAAGAAGTCTATTGCTTGGTTCCGGATTTGCCAAGCCTTGTAGGGCCGAGAGAGCATCAGAATAAATATGTATTGTAAAGTACTGTTTTAAGTTTTTATAACACCGCAGTGCCTCTGTAATTGCAACCGCTTCAGCTTGATACACTGATTTATTTCCTTCTAATCGTATTTTTCTAGTATAGATTTCGACTCCGTAATAAAAAATAACAAAAGCGCAACCAGTTCCACCTTCATTCCGGAGCCATCAGTGTATATATCAATCATGCCAGTATTCATATAATCTTTATCGTACGGTGTGCCCTTGAAATCTTTCGGATGTATATTCATAAAATCTTTTCTTGTCAAGGCGTTACCATTCAAAACATCACCATTTTCACATGTTAAAATCTTTTTAAAACCATAGCTGAGTAAAAATTTTTCATAATAAAATTTATAAAAAATTGAGAGTGGCGGAATGCCAGCAAGTAAGCAAATAACTTCTGTAGAAACAGTACGGAAAGCCCTTGTGATTGCAAGCAGCCAGCTCCTTTGCAGTGAATCCAGTTTAGTTCTCAGTTTAATCAATTCCCAACCGGTATAGCGATAAGCGTTGCTGACTGCCGCGCGGAAGAGCCCGGGTTCAAATTCAAGAGACGGCATGGATGTTTGTAAATGTTTAGTGTCCGTACGACATGCAGGCACTCTAAATATGCGGCGAGCCAAAAGTCCTCTCGAGAGGTTAATTGTAGGGCAAGAGGAGTGAGAGACCCTCGATCCCGTCCTCCCGGGGTGCTCTCCATCAAAATTAGGAGTGGAACTGAGCTAAGTCGCACTCTCATCTTACCTTTAAGGTACTCAAGGATGTTGAAAGCGACAGGCGTAATCTTGCGCGAGGAATTTCGTGGTCTTGGGCTGACTATATGTCAGACAACTAAGCATTGGTCAACAACAACAGAAACATCTTGTGGCCGGTTGAAAACTATTTAAAGCCGATGAAAGACCATCAGCCCTGAGTTGTTTAGTTGGCTGGCTGTTGTTATTGTTGTGAGTTCACCCCGATGTCGGATTAGGTTTCTCCTCAGATATGCTTTGCGTGGTGTTTAACATTCTTAGTAGTTTGTTGCGCAACTACTGTTTATACTATGTGATAGTGTGAATACTTGTACGGATATTTCTGTGGAAAATTCCAGAGATCAAAAATATTTCTTTTGGTAAAAATAATTTTTTAATGGCCTATAATATTGTACGTTATATCCTTCCTTCACGTTCGTACGGGGTTCGTAGATTTGGAGTGAATAAAGACGACACTTGATGAAGTATCGAAACACACTTTATTTACCAATATTAAACAGATAGCTCCAAAATCACTTTTACAGTCGTCGAACTGTTATAAATACGCTGACACGTTCAGCGACACAGCCTTCACCCTGTCAGGCAATAACGGTGGAGATCGCTTCACTGCAAAGCACCCGAGTACAGCTTCCAACTCTTTGGTTCAGTCGTTCTCCACGCACTCTCGAGGCTCTCCACGCGATGCACTCGACGACAAACAAGAGTACAGCTCTCGACTCAGCACACTCTAAGACAAAACTCGACGATGCACCAATTCGCGATGCACTAAAAGACAACCCTTCCGATGCACCCGACGACCAACCCGACGCTAGACCTCGAGACACTCGCTCAACGACCGACCACCAGCTCGCTAGACGAGGCACACACACTCACTGACTGCGGACCAGCAGGGTTTATATAGTTTTCGGCTTGTGTTCGAGAACATTCTGGGCTAAACTGGTAAGAATTCGTACAAGAAGGTTCTCCATCCGTCCATGGTATATCGCCAATTTTGTCGCCAAATGGGCGATCGCCAAGTGCGCCAATTCTGCCTTTCTTTGGCATTTTATGGCAACCCTAAAACTGCTTTGCGGGGAAGCCATCTTACCGCAATTGTACATTTCGTAACAATATAATAGACTTGTGAGTTCAATCTATTACGAACCCGTATGCACGCATCAATATTCTAAAAAGCTACTATTATTAATTTCTCTGTTGTACAAACAACTAATTTTATTACATAAATTATTAACTCTATTATTGTACATATAACTATTTTATTAAATAAATTATTAACTTTATTTTATTAAATAAATAAATGCGTTTCCCGCTTTATACATTAAAAGGACGTTTTTGCCTTATCTTCGATTGCACAATGAATTTTCGACGATTGGCTGCTTTATTCCGAGATATCCTGTATGATGAATATTTGAACACATCAGCAGATTAAAAATCTCATTTTTCTATAACAACACACTTATTAGCTACAATTGTATGCAAAATTGTTATACTTTAAATTTAAAAGACATCTTTCTTAGAACAAGTACATTAGGAAGTACCTAGTAAAAATTTTATTCACCAAAAATTTGAAATGAAGAGAAAATATAACAAAATTTATCTTTATTTTCAAGAATATTGAAAGCCTTTGTACAAGTTTATGAATATAAATGTCTTTGCCAATACACATAGTCTTCAAACAGTCTCAAAAGAAATATCAAGAGGCCTTTGGTTTGTACAAGTCAGCAGGAAGTCGTTTTTGAAGCTTTATACAGTCCCAAATCCAATCTTCCGTAACCTTCTTGGCATTTTTTAATGCTTTACTTTCCTGAAAGAGAAAAGGACATATATCAGTTTGAACAGGTCATAGACTTTTTAAATTTTACAAGAATATTTCAAAATCCGTAAATTTTAGTACGCGTTCTATCAGAACAAGTTATAGTTACTCCACTCCAGAAAGAAAAATAAATGTTTAATAATTAAGGGGAAATTCTAATTACTTCATGATTTACCTCCAGTTTGTCTTTCGCAAAGAAGAATGACAAACAGATTACCCAAAATTAGAAAAAATGTGAATTCCTGTTAATATGAGTATATTTAAGGTAGTTTTCGAAACGTTTTCTTAAATATACACATAAGTAATGAAGCGAGATTCATGCGGTACCTTCACTGCTAACAGTAACTTGTAATGAGCTACAGTACATTTAAAACAGATTGAAAGAGTTTAGACCCAAAACCGAATTAGTAGACATCGCTAAAATAAAATTTAAAAAAAACTTAAAAAAATGGTATTAACTGTTCGACCTAAGTCTCGTTCGTGTGTGTTAAAACGATTTTGACACTGAAAGTATAGTCTCAGTCCATAAATTCGTGCGCATTTTTGGTAAATTTTTAAATAATATAAAAAACCCAATTTAACATTTTAATCAATTATATATTTCCCTCCATTATCTACAATATCTCGCCATCTTACAGGCAGCGTTTTTATGCCATTGCTGTAGAAAGACTGGTTTTTGATGCAAAAAAACTTGAAAGTTCATTGTGTACATCTTGTTTAGAATTTAATTTTTTTCCCAGTAAAAAAATTTTTAAGACATGAAATAAGTGAAAATCACTTGGGGCAATATCTGCGGAGTATGCAGAATGTGGCAAAAGCTCTCAATTAAATTCACTAATTTTTTGCAGCGTTTTGTTCGAGCCGTATGCGGTCTAGCGTTATCATGATGAAACAACACTTTCTCTATATTCACCAATCGTGGGCGTCTTTTATTATCAATTCTGAGTTTAGATGGCAAAGTTGTTCACTATTAACTTCTGAATAAATCGTTTGATTTGGTTCTAATAGTTCAAAACGTCCTGAACGGGGTTCATCATCAATGCTGCTTTTTCCAACTTTAAATTTTTTAAACCATTTATGGGCAGTTCACCTGGCAGATTCACCACACGAAAATAAAAGAATGTAGCACAGCACGTTTGTACTGATTATCTATATTCATCTTTTATGGGTACTAAAATGCGCGATATTTACGAAAGTTGGTGATGAACTGAATAATATGTTAGTCACACGATGACAAGCTTCAACAGGTTCCAAATTGTACTGTTTTAGTAAATGCGTCATAGTGAATTCCACGCATATTCTTAATGCGCACGAACGTATGGACTGACCATAGATATTCGGTTAAAAAGCCAACTCTTTCGTGTATAACTTCTTTTTAACTTAATAATGTTTCTTTTTAACTATTAATAATGCTTTTCCCTTCTTTTATGCAACCAAACGGATTAAAATCGGCTCTCCTTTCGTATGTTGAATCAAAATTTTTTGAAATCTATTATGATAAAACATCAGTGTTGGGGCAAACTCACGACAAATTCGAAAGTTTACTTTCAATCCCATCGACTTGATGGGAAGTAATATGGCAAAATAAAACCCTGGAAAGTTATATGTCTTAGAAAGTTAAATTTCTTTCAAATATCTACTTGGTTTGGTTTACGTATTACGGAAAAAGCCTCGAGGGCTCTCTGCCTAGCGGGAGGGAAGCCTTCGTGGAGGACTTTCTAGGGAAAACTGGCTCGTATACACCTCGGACCGAACTACCAGAGTTCAGCGACTTTATCGCACGGCCACTGGTGGGCCAGTATCTACTTGAATTTGCTCCGTAGTTACAGCATTCCCTGAAAGCGATTCGATAAATTATACAAACTGCAATACAAAATGGAATTTTTCATTGTGTGAAGAAACAAGACAGTTCCTCTGAGAATATACCAGAAAAGAATTTTTGATTACAATCTACACCGATTTCTTTTTCCCTGTAGGTTTTTTAAGAAATACCAATTTAAAAAAAAAATATTCTTGCTTTACAGTATTGTTAATTTTCTTCACACGTTAACCTTTACGACACTAGATTACTAGGTTATTAAAAGCTGCAGTAAAAATTTAATTTTTTTAGTAATTACAGATGCATATTTTCTTTGGGTGACTTATATGGAAAAAAAATTAAAAGTAAAAATATCGAAAGTTATTTTACGCGAACAATGTATACTAAAACAAGCCACTTCCTCCCACTTTCCCTTTTAATGAAAACTTTATCCGAACTAGTTCCACACCAATTATTTCAGATAAACACGACCGTATTCTCGCACATCACATGGATTACATGGATAATGATTTTTATACCAGCAAGCCAGTAATAAGCTCGGAGCTCGGAAATATAATTTAAGTGTATTCGCATAATGTCAATCTTTGTGGTAAGAAACACTTATTTTTTTTCCCTACATGAAAAATAATTTCACTCATACATTCATAAACAAACCACGATACGTTCTTCGAAGCGAAAACAATATGAAAAATACAGTCCTCAGGGTCATTTTAAATCAATTTCTGGCGAGTTTGACTAAAAGAAAAAGAGGCTAAGTCAAAAACGGCGAAAATCGAAAGAAAACACCCAGTTTCGAAATTCAATTTTATTCGACCAAATAGGCTTAATACAAAAAATAATAACAAAATCATCCCTCCATCGATAACGATAAGACAATTCTGTTTTCGATCAAAAATGCATTCATTGTAATAGAGGCTATTTTATTCTTTCAAAAGCATATATAAAAAAGTCCATACGAGCATTTTCAATTTTCTTGGTTAAGCAATGAAGTCTACTGATAGGTTACCACATTTTTTACACTAAAAGTGAGTATATTTTTATTAATTTCTTATATCCATGGGGATAGAGAAGCCACAATGCAAAGCAATATTTCAGTAATTAAAAATTTTTGTAATGCGATACATAATAAAATATTCATGAATATACAACATAATTCTTATTAGTTGCATTGATTAATATAAAAAATTTGTATTATAAATGTAAAAAGCTAAAAACAGAAGGAAAAAATCTTGATTTTTTCCAACTCAAAGTATACGTGAAACTGAATTTATACCCGTTTATTAATTTTTTATATTTTATTTTTGAATATTTGATTTAAAAAATTGCAATAGTCTTCGGCTTCGTACTGAGGCAAGGTATCAGGTTATAGCAGGTCCTGCGTCAGTCTCGTATTGTTTGCTAGGAAGAAACAAACAGCTTTTTTCCTTCACGCTCTGCCCACCAGCGGCCGAGCGGTAAAGTCGCTGAACACTGGTAGTTCGGTCCGAGGTTTGAATCCCGCGAAAGGGACGGCTGCATGGGCGTTTTCGTGGTTTTCCCCATGTGTAACGTGTATACAAGCCAGTTTTCCTTAGAAAGTCCTCCACAAAGGCATCCCTTCCCTTAGGCAGGGTGTCCGCCGATAACATCGCGGCAAAAACATCGCGGACTAAAACGTCCCGGAGAAAACAATGCAAGGCGAAAACGTCGGGCTACAAAGCATCGTGGGAGAAAACATCGCAAAGAGAAAACATCGCAGTTCTAAAACATCGGGGTAGAAAACATCGTCGTCGAAAATAAAGCGGTTCAAAAACTTCGCAGTTTAAAAACATCGTCGTTGAAAATATCGTGGTAAAAAATAAAGTATCTACAAATCATCGCATGACGATAACATCGCAGACTTGCTTTTTTCAGGTTTTAATAAATGTAAATGGATATTTCCATAATGATTTGTGAACGCAAGATGGAAAGAAGGATAATTTTTACTTTCATATTCTTTATTAACTAATAAATGTTTCCTGAGAAAATAAAAAAGGAACTTAGGCATAGAAAATTAATGCAACTTAAGCAATAAATCCTTTTTTATAAAGTTTTTACTGGTAATTTTTCATGAAAAGTATAATCTATAAGTTGCATTTAATTAGTTAATAAAGAATATGAAAGTAAAAATTTACCTTCTTTCCATCTTGCGCTCACAAATCATTATGGGAATGTCCATTTACAATTATTAAAGCCTGAAAAAATCATGTCTGCGATGTTATCGTCACGCGATGAGTTGTAGATACTTTATTTTTTACCACGATATTTTCGACGACGATGTTTTTAAACTGCGAAGTTTTTGAACCGCTTTATTTTCGACGACGATGTTTTGTACCACGATGTTTTAAAACTGCGATGTTTTCTCTTTGCGATGTTTTTCTCCCACGATGTTTTGTAGCACGACGTTTTCGCCTTGCGTTGTTTTCTCCGCGACGTTTCCGTCCGCGATGTTTTCGGCTGTAACCCTTAGGCCCTAGTGTGCTTTGCCATAATTAAATACAACAAAACCTTCACGCTCTTCCCGAAATCATGGCAATAAAGGACACAATCCTTAAAACTAGCACTGTGTTGATTAAATTATTATTTCTAGTCACTTAGAACAACTGCGACCTCCTTTTCGAGAGTATTATGTTCTAAGACTTATGAGGTATTCTCTCTCATTTTTGCATGCCTTGTTGGTGTAACGGTAGCAATCTCGCCGCGTATTCGAGAGGTCCAGGTTCGAGTCTCGGCGGAAACATTGCTCATTTTTCACGTCTCCAGCATACAAAAAGGCCTAATGTCTCTACAGACTTACCATACATAATTTTTAACGCTATACATAACATACTTGTAATACATAAAATAATGACATGCTTACAATATATAAAAGCATGGATAATTTTAATTGACAAATCACATGCAATTAGACATTATTAACATGAAATAAAGTAATAATAAAATGCAACACCAATATATGTTATTTTTCTCTCCCTCATAAACCTGAATGTTTCGGCCAGTTCCTCAAGAGATGAAAGAGCAAGGGAGAACACCGGTAACTGTATTCTATAGATTACGTACCACTTCAAAGAAAAACAAAGCAATAAAAGTGATGGTTTTCATCAAAGCAGGGAATAGGCAATGTAGTATCTATCTGAACACTTTATTTATGGTCATTGTTGTAAAAGGACAGGTACCCAGTAAGACGGTGAAAACTACTGTCATTCACTATGCTACGTCCATTTAACACAAGGGCGAGTTTTATAGCATATGAACAGTTTATTTAACATTTTTTAATTTATACTGGGGCCGCAGCAAACTGAGAGTAACAGGAATTGCTAATATTAGATCAGCATATATAGGGATATGGTTAGGTTATTTGAATACGTAAAGCAAACGAGGGTTAAGGGAAGTGATGCCTTCCTGGAAGGCTTTCTAAATGAAACAGGCTCGTATTCACGTTACATATCAGAAAAACTACGAAAATCAACGATATAGCCAGCCGCTCGCCTGAATCGAAATCAGCTTGAACTCCCAGTATTCAGCGGTCAAGCACTCCAGCCATTGGTCGGATTATAGAGGAGTAAGATTACATTACGATATATAACATTATTTATACAAAGTTTCTATAAAACCTTTTACAAAGAAACTCTAACGAGAAATAATTTTATGAAGCATATCGAAACAAAAAAAAAGTCGAATGTAATACTGAATTTTATAGTGTTTACTGATTGGTTTCAAATCTGATTAATAAATTTTCTCTTATTAGTCACTGGTTTTGAGTAACCGACGTTTTATTTTTGTACAAACGCTTGAATAATTTTACATATATTAGTCAATGCAATTAGTAGTGTCTTCTAAAAAAAAATTTAATCGAATTCTTTTCAATATTTTACCACCGAGAAATATCTCTTTAGAATAAAATAATACTTTTCCTTTATAACACATTTCAGTTCCACATATTGTAGCATATATATCCTAATATAAGTATTTACACTCGTCGCTTACGACTCTTAAGAGTAAGCCTTCCCCCCCCCGAAAAAAAAACTCAAAATGGGAATCCAGAAATAAAGCTAATCGATACCTTACGCTCCAGTATTATACTAGTGTTAAAGAGCAATTTTTTTTTTTTTTTTTTTTTTTTTTTTTTTTTTTTTTTTTTTTTCATTTTGGTTTGCAAAAAATCAATTGGGAGACGTGAAATTCATACTGCAGCAGACAGTACAGAATGAATAAGAAAACGCTTTCCTGACAGAATGGCCTTGGTACAAAAAACTGTGTGTCCAAGGGAAAGAACAACAAACCAAAAGGCCTTTGTAAGGAATTTTACGACCTCCATTAACTGTGATGGTTGTGCTGCACCATCTGTCGACACTCACCACCAGATTACATAACAATTCTTGAGGTAAGAGTTCCCATTCTTCAAAAAACATGTTTCAGTTGTCTGGTGTTCTCCGGAAGGTAAGATACTGCGGCCAATACTACACATGCTCAATGTGATTTAAATCAGGACAGCACGCTGGCCAATTCATTTTGTGGATATCTACATTTTCCAGGAGCTCCTCAACAGCGTGAAGCCAGCGTGGCCGGCCATGCATCTTCATCTACGGGACTAATGGCAGCTTAAAACATACGTGGGAAGGATAACTTGTCAATCTCCTGTCAATGATCTTCTTCCTAAAAAGTAAACGACCATCCGTTCGTTCATCATAATGCCTCCCCATACAGGTACAGGTAAAAGTGGGGGGGGAGAGCACCTGTACTTCATGAAACGAACAGGTGTTGCGTCCTTTCACTAACTGTTCTAGAGTTCACCTCCGATGAGACCTCACGAGGGGGAAGTTAAATTATGGGGTAGTTAAGAAAAGGACTTTTGGTAGTTTTGAATATTTAGTTTGGTTGTTTCTTGTCAGTCCTGCAAGCCAGACATCTCACCCACCCTCAGCCGAGAGACAGGCCCAGGCCGAACCATCCCTTAAGGTCTCTTTTCCTGATGTTAGCGGAATGAAAGTGTGTTCCTATCTCTTTCCATATCAGCTGGCGCCGAGAAGCATTTGTCAGACTGAAACGACTCTCATCGATAAAGGAGACGCAACTTCACTGATGAAGTGTCCAATCGTGTTCTCTACACCACTGTAAACGGTGCCGCCAATGGTCGCAATTTCGGGACCAAAAAAGAAACCTTCAAAGTTTTTGACTTATGCAACTTGATAGATATATTCGGTTAATTAGACACACGACATACTTTTTTTTTTTTTTTTTTTTTTTTTTTTTTTTGCAAAAAGGAAAAAATTAAATTAATTATCTATATCATATGTACATTAGGTTTAACATCAATGATTAATATTCATTAAAAATTAGCAACAGATCACTCTGAATGAATATCAATGGTATGCAGTTGAGGACTACTGACGAATAGACCACCTTCATAATTGGTCAGACAACTTCATAAAGTCGCCTACTAAAAGTAAACCAGCGACACATGTTATCCGGTTGCCATACGAAATTATCGCTGTCTGGTTCCAATGATTTTTCGCCTGCAGGGCAACATATCGGTCATCAGTCACCGTTGCTTTACTTTGCGACCACCGTTAACTTTCTTGCAGCTGTTACAACCTTTCTTATAGCTATTTCGAAGGTTTTCCAAACTCGTGAAACAAAAATTTTTTTTATCAATTCCAAACTTGGGCGACAGACGTCAAACTACAATCCTCTTCAAGCTTGCCAATCATTCTACCACGTGTAAAAGCGTTCTGATATTTTCCTGTAGTCATACTGCACATGCAATCGCACTTTCTTTTGCAGAAGAATGTCCTGAAATGTGTCTTTATTTCTTCTTTTGCAGGCTCGGACGTATTGGTGCTGATATTTGCGTATGCATCCCCTTTACACCATGCGCCGAGTCGTGCACCCAAGCTTACGCTTTCAGCCATGGTGCTCCTAAACATTAAGAGTTACAGTGTGGGTGACTTATACAAGAATGATCGTGAGGCTCTGAGATTCCAGAGATGTGATTTTCAAGTTGCATTACTGCCGTAGACTATGTAAAACAGGAAAAACGACTACTTACTAATAACAATAATACTATCATCGAATGATGTGATCAAACGCATAGCCATAAATTTGACTCATATTGCCACTAATTAACTCAATATAATTTTATGCCTCAATTCCCTAAATTGTTGGTCACCACATTTTAAGCAATTTCTACGTATCAGACTCAGACTTATCCAGAGTACTTTCAAATGTAGGCTCACTCAGTTGGTCACTAATTTCGGGACCAAAAAAGAAACCTTCAAAGTTTTTGACTTATGCAACTTGATAGATATATTCGGTTAATTAGACACACGACATACTTTTATTTTGGAAAAGGAAAAAATTAAATTAATTATCTGTATCATATAACATAAGCGGAGTACATTAGGTTTAATATCAATGATTAATATTCATTAAAAATTAGCAACAGATCACACTGAATGCTTTGAATGTTATACAGCTGGAAAATTTCGATTAAAAAATGCAGTATTTTTAAAAAAATTTACAATTTATTTCACTAAAATTTTTACCAATTAATAATATTATGTAAGAAATAAATTTCATTCATAATGGAAAAATCTTTCAAATTTTAGAATCAGTCGAAACATAATAACTTAAAACATGCTAAAACACTACTTACGGTTAGGCTGGGGGTCAATATTACGTAATTAGCTTCATTCTTTTCATTTTCTTTTAAAAGGATGCCATCATATCTTATTCAAGTTAAAAAAAAAAATATTCTTCAATACGATTGCCTTAAACATCGATAACTTAAAGATATAAAAAGCAAGCAACATTATCATATTAATAAGATTTCTATAATATGCAGGTAACAACATAGCAAATATTTCTTTATTAACCAAGCCATATAAATCTTTGAGTATTTCACACTTTTGAGTATATTTTGCGCAATAATATAAGGGAAAAAGATGCCTACGTGTTAAATAAATCCCGAAATTTATCACAGTTGGGAATTCTAAAAAACCTTCAAAAATTTTAAACCTTATTTTTATAATAAAACTTTTCACATTTAAAATCCAGAAATATATCCAGAAAAGCAAGCATACTGAGGGAGAGTGACAAGGAACTTACTTTTTCAAGGTTTTGGTTCTTTGCTTACGGTAAAAGCACTCGAGAGCTACCTACCTAAGAGAAGGGATTTTCTATGGGAAAATAGCTCGTATACACATACTTTTTCAAGAAGCAAAAAGTGCACAATTTTATTAACGACAATATGGAGGTGATTGCATTTAACTGCAAAGTTACTTTGTAATCAGAACGTCTTCCTCCTTAGTCCATTCGGGGTAACAGTAGTGGTGTAGCCGCTGGTTGGAGGAAGGAACAGAAAGAGACCCCTACCTTCCACAACAGCTAACGCAGTACTGCCAAGCTTACAATTTAAGGAGGTGTGGCACTTTTGTTCACATCCAGAGCACGTTACCTTGCGGTTAGTGGATTAAGTACGTTGCAGTTATTGGACTGGTACTTCCGCACCAAATTGAAAAGCAAGCACACTCCTGCACAAATATTCATTGGTGGATGGGTAACAGCAATTTGAATAGTATAGTAGCATTTCCGCATAAATCACATCTTGGTTACCTTTCGATAACTTGCAAGCGAATTTGATCCTAAGCTGCTGGACTACACAAATATAGAATTTAACAAAATATTTATGGTAAGTAGAAAGAAACATTTATACAGGTAGTATAGTATAGTAGCATTTCCACATAAATCACATCTTGGTTATCTTTCGATAACTTGGAGAGCGAATTTGATCCTAAGCTGCTGGACGACACAAATATAGAATTTAACAAAATGGTTATCTTAAGTGGAAAGAAAGATTTATACAGGGTGCGGCAGGGAAACTTCCTTATTTGAAACGCGCGCCATCTAGCGACATTTATTCCGAGAAGTGTGGGGTGGCGCTCATTGAAAAGAGAGGTGTCTAAAGTTTTTTACCATGTAGGTTTAGTACCGATCATGCAGTAGACGAGACGGGAGCGCGTTCGCCGTGGAGTCGTACTTTTCAACGTACTGCATTTTCGTCCATATAAATTGGCAGTTGTGCAAAAACTTAACCCATGCGATTTTCTTTCGCTAAAAAATGCATGCGAAGCCATTCTTGACAATATGCCTCACGATGCCCTTGCATTCTTAAGCGATGAGGCTCATTTTTATCTTTCCGGTTGCGTAAATAAACAAAGCATATGCGATACTGGAGTGGCACGAATCCCTGAGAACGTCATGAGCAGTCCCTCCATACAGAACGAATGACTGTTCGGTGTGCATTGTCCAGAATAGGCATCATTGGACCATGGTTTTTGAAGAGCATTTTCCTGAACGCCTTATCTCCTTACGGGGCGATCTTCAGTGGCCAGCGCGCTCGCCTGATTTAGACCCGTTTGATTTCTTTTTGTGGGGCTAACTGAAATCTCTATCGTCCAAAGACTCTGGCTCAACTGAAAAACAACATTCAAGCTGCTATGGACAACATACCCGTTGATATATGCTGGTAAATCAAAATTCGACTATCTCAATGCACTGACCAGAACGGAGGCCACCTTAATGATATTATTTTTAAACCATAATAAAAATAAAACCTAAAGTGTCTCTCTATAACTTGGAAAAATATTAAACTCATATCGCTTATACTATTTGTGTTATTCATTTTTAAAATAAGGTTGTTTCCCTGCCGCACCCTGTACCTTTAAAATGTCAAAATATGGCGAAGGTATAAAACACTTTAAGCTCAATTTCTTTATAACTAACTGATATAAGAAAATTTGTATACTTATTTTGACTCCCTTTATAATGGGTTTGCTACTTTTATTTTATGTTCCAACATATTTAAAATAAAATATATTTTTGTCATCCATATAATATTTTAATACGCAGTGCGCTCAGCATTATCCATAAGAAAATTATTATTTTTAGCTGTTCCTTTTTGTTTTCTCTCTCCCCTCCACCAGCTCTTTTTTTTTTTTTTTTTTTTTTCAAATACAAAAATAATGAATGTTAAATATTACAGTTAAAATGACCTACGCTAAAAGTAACAAAATTATACGTTCTTAAAAAATAAATTTAAAAACATTTTTTGAGAATCCATAATCGAGTATTTTTTAACAAAATTCTAGGTAATTTTTGAAATTTTTAGATGAGAGGCATACAGTTGCTTCTTTTAAACTCACTTAGGCTATATAATTTAAACATAATCATTCACAGTTTATATATCTCAACTGAAAAACGAAATTACCACGAAATCTTGTGATCATATTACCTAGTTAAAATTAATAAATACATAGGTAGATATGTTCATAAGTTGACTTGAATCATCATCTAACCACATATTTGTGTAAAATTGTATACAAAAGCATTTGCCAATTCGGTGGAAGTGCCAAGTACTGTAAGGGTGATGTGACCATGTGGAAATGCCCCATCATTTTGACAGCTTATTAAGAATTTTAAAATATTGTGATCCACGGAGGTAAAAAAATGACGTATCAGAAAAAAATTATCTACATAGATAAACACTGAGCCATTATTAATACGTTGAGCGCCAAGCGTATTTCTTAGGCAATCCCGTTCAGGCCACGCGCGCCGCTTAACAGCGCTGGCATTGTAGGGCCAGCGATTCTTATCGCAGTAGAAGATAGTTTACGTTTGGAACGTAATTCCTATAGGCATTCATTCAACACGTTACGCTCCAAGTCTGTTTTGTACATAGTTACATTCTATGCAAAGATATTACGAAGCAGAAAATTAGCATTACTGAAGTCCGGAAAGAATTAGCGCTATCCCTTACAGTTGTGAAAAAAGAGCTTCCATCACAGAAATGCAAGAATATCTAAAAAACGACAGCATAAACTCCAAAGAAAACCGGAAAAAGCCTCTGAAGTACGGAAATATTGTAAATTATGTTATGATAAAAATGCAACTGAAGCTGGTAGATTAATGGCCAGAGAAAAGACTAAGACAGTTGTCACAATTTGTAATAGCTGTAACGGAGAACCGCTTTTATACTTACCGTGTTTCAATGAAATCCATTAGTCCTGTAATGAATCAAAATTAAGTACATTTTAAATAATTTTTCTGTAATTCCATAAAACAGTGTAAATTATATAGTTATATATCATGTTACACGCTGTCAGCCAGCGGCGGTCGACGCGGCCTAAACGGAAAGTCTAGTGTCAGCCACAGATGGCTGACATGGCGCTCAACGTGTTAATGCAATAATGAAAAATTCTAAACTGAAGATTATCCAGTCTTTAAATTAACCAACAACTGCCATTCATTGCAATCTCCATAATCCCCCCGTTAAATGACCTAAAGCAGTGATGCAATATTACTGTCGTAAGTGCCATTAATTTATTGAAAGCATTTCTACTTATACTATTCGTACCACTATATTTTAGAATTTTTATTACATGTGAAAACTTGCATGTACTTAATGAGGTTCTTGCCATGTTCATTAAGTAGCTCACCAACATACCCCAGTTAGCATTCAAAAGAACACTGGTGGGATTACTGGCAATGAAATGATACACGTTTCCAAAAGTTCTTGCTGACAAAAGCCTTATGACCCTCCATATGTTGTTAACGATAACTCATAATTACCTTGATTTTGCTAACTGGGTGTTGCCTTCTGGTCTCAGAAGACTTTTTAAGTGTACAGACTATGCAAATAATTAACACGTTGAATGCCACGCGCATTTTACGTGGCTCGCCCATGGCACCAACATGAATCTTTTTATTATTCAGTGCATTTATGTTGAAATATTATCTACAGAAGATAAGGTGAGTTATGTAATCGTGTTTAATGAATTTTTCCTGGTGGGGGTCACGGCTCACCCCCGAGGGGCTGCAGACCATTTTTGCGATTTATTATTTAAATTTTTGCTATCTACTACTCTTCAAAACATTATAGTAACAATGGTTATTATATAAAAATTTATTTGTATCGATATTTACTGTAATTATATATTTTTACTGTTGGTCGCGTTGCTGGTCACCGGTAGCCCCCACAGCGCTGTTGCCAAGTCGATTGCCCCACGGCAGTCAACAGGTTAAGAGACATTTCTGCCATGCATTGCTTAGAACATCCAGCTAAAAAGTGGAAAATTCGAGCTGGATTACGGGAAACGACATGTTGATTATTTCATAAATCTCTCATCACAAAAACTAATTACTCTATAATACTGAAATTCCGCGATGAAATTTGCGGCACACCAAATGGCAAGCGGTTATATTCAATTTTTGCTATTTTGGTAGGAGGAGACTAATACAGGCACACAATATACTGCAAAACTCTTAAAATGAATCCGGAAAGATTCACTTTAGCTATTTTTTTTTCAATTCAAATTTTGAGCATCAGGTGCTTTATTACAATTAAAAAATACTTCTTCTAACTAGACGTATCGAAGAACAGTGCTATTTCACAACAAGTAACATAAACTTCAAGTGAAAACTTCAAAGAAGAAAAATAATTCCTTCAAAAATGTACTCCAAGCAAATTTATCTTCGGCAATATACCAAACAAATTTATCTTTAGCAGAGTGAAGAGACAGAAAGAGAAAAATGCTTCAAAATTTTGATCCTTAAAAAGGCAGCCATCACATTTTTTACGATCATAGAGAGTTATGCATGCACTAATAGAAAAAAATATATATATAAATAATTCGACCCCCTACCTCGTTATAAAAGTATCTCCTCTTTC